ATTGTTTTCACTATTGTGTTTGCCTACTTGGCAAGATGGCGTCGCAAACCCGGAAAGGGCGTATTAAAAGTATCCCCGGGATGGGGCATTTCCCACTCTCAGCTTGCCCAAGGGCTGTGCATTAGTCTCCTAGTTGTGTCCCGGCACCCGGGCATTTGCACTATCGTAACCAATCAAATCGAATTCCCGGGTGTGTTCTGGGGGGGATGGTTACTCCTGGAATTGACTGATGCATTAGGGACCGGTCACAAAGTAAGGGGGGGGGGGGCTGGGAAAATCGTATATTTGGTGTCTGCACTTTTGGTAGCCCACCCCTTGATAGCTGCACAAAAATTTGTGGCCCACACTCAAATTGGTGCTGAAAAATTATGAAACACGAAAGATACCAGCGTTCTTTTTTTCTGTTGCCAAATAATTCTGTGTTACAATACTCGATAGCTATTGAAATGGTGCAATTAAAATCCAGGGCCTCTTTTAAGGATGTGTAACTGGAGAGGACATATTTAGAGGGGGACCTGGAGAAGTTCCAGTTGGCAAGTCTGTATCACTGCAGCTACCAGCATATATATGCATGGTTTAACTAATAAGTATATGTCATAGGGCAGCAGATCAGCAGGATTCTGAGACAATCAAGTCGACCACCTAAGGTGGGAGCTTCTAGAGGGGTCTGGGGTTTTTTTTTTGAATTTCTTGAAGCTCAGATAAGCTATTTCCTGCAGTTTGAGGAGTTTTCCAACAAGAATAATACCTTATAAACAGTGACACAATTACTGCAATTTCACAGTCTCCCAAATGTAATCCAGTCCCAATGTGTGTGGTATAGTTTATTGTCTTATCTGTAGTGTTTTACGTGATCCTTGGGAGAAAGTTTCTCAATCTGTTTATACAGTTAGAACAAGCAAGTGCTGTTTTCTTGAAAGAGGTATGTTATACCTTAAATGTTAAGACTATGTGCACACGGTAACGTTTTCAAGCGTTTTTAACTGTAACGTTTTCAAAAAGTGTCGTTTTCAAACCGTGTCCACACGAAAACGGATGAAAACAACGTCCTATACAACGAAAACGTTTTCAATGATTAATTAAAAACATTTTCGGACAAGCGTTTTCGCATTGAAACGCTAAAAATTAAAGATGGCAGCTTAAAATCAAAATATTATATTCTTGTTTCTTGGAAGCTTAGATACAAATCCTTCAAAACTTACAATTTACGTATGCAAAATTCTTACTGTGATTGTAGAAACTTTGATAGTGTAAACCTGGCTTTAGGCATGTTTACTTGAGTACATACGCCGTGACTAGGCATCGTATACGTTGTGTTGTGCAGACCAGCCTTAAGATAACTGATTCGCCAGATCGATGATTTGTCTCTACTCTCTAATATCGGGGTAATAACACGTTGAAGTGAAATATATAAAAATTCTGAATAACTTAAATCTAGGTTTTATCTCAAGAGAACAACGCTACAGCAGAAAAACTCTTCAGTTTCTGTGAAGACGCTTCAATAAGGTTGGTTGCATATCCTGTATTTGACATGGGGGCCAGCATTTACTTGGCACGCCATAATCTAAACAGTACCTTATATATGTACATGAACTTGCGATTAGAGCTTGACAACTGGCCTCTGTAGCTCAGTTCTAAACAGTACCTTATATATGTACATGAACTTGCGATTAGAGCTTGACAACTGGCCTCTGTAGCTCAGTTGATTAGAGCTCGACAACTGGCCTCTGTAGCTCAGTTGATTAGAGGGTTGCACTGGAATTGCAGGACCGCAGGTTCGATCCTTGCCAGGGACCTGTAGTTGCATTTTTCACATCTGTTCCTGGTTGCACTGGAATTGCAGGACCGCAGGTTCGATCCTTGCCAGGGACCTGTAGTTGCATTTTTCACAGCTGTTCCTGGGTAGGTCTGATAAAATGTATTTAAATTTCCACTTGATAATTTCCATCTACAAGACCCTTCAACCCATACCAGCATGGCAGTATACCTGTCCTGTGTAAATATACAGGCCATCAACGTGCAACTATCAGAGTGAGAAAATCATGTTACTTCATTCTTTTCATTATATAGCAGTCTTGTATTTGAAGGCAAATAAATAGAATGGAGAAATGTAGTTTAATTTTCCTACTACTCCCATAAGTTGTAAACATTTCTGAAGTGGATCACCATCTGAAAAATATGAGGAGAATTTCGACGTTTCCAGCAAAGGCCCTTTGTTTGGAAGTTGGAATTTCTCCTAATCTCCTTATGATTTTCAGGTAGTTCCATCCCTATCAACGAACGTTTGTTGTTATTGTCACAACCAGGGCGCTTATGGTCACAACCTACACTGTCACAGACAGTTCAAGATCTGCTGTGTTTCAGTTAACTTGTGCCACAGCCCAACAAGCTTATTAGTGATTTACTGTAATTGTTTTATTCTTCAATTCTAGAACTTCCTTAGTTCAAGGATTGTCTCAACTTGATCGAGCATCCGCCATGTTGCAGCATTGCGCGTTCTTCAAAGCAACACAATGTCACATTGAAAGGTAGGAATGATCTTTCCTTCGTCGATGGTAGCAATAAATATAGAAGATATTCCTGCACTCAATTTAAAAGGATTTGAGGTAAATGATAAGAGGATCTTTGGATGTCTCCTCCGTAGGCATCTTGTACTACACTTGGCTTGTTTGGTTTACAATTTGCCCGCAAGCAAATCCTGCCCGCAACTCTAAAGGCGATGCCTGCAGAGGAGGCTATGGGTGTCTGTTATCAGCATAAATTGAAGCCTGAATATTTGAGACAAACTTTTTCCCCCATTTCAATGTTGCTTTGTGCTGTAGCGTTGTTTAATTCAAATATCGTACATTCCAATATCGTACAATGAGACAGTTGCCGTTCTAGTGTCACGTTATATTTCTTTTAGAAAGATAATGTATGAGTAAATTCATATTATAGAACACTATATAAGAGACAAATTTAATTTGTTGGATATTTATGTTATGTTGTGTTACAGATAGTAAATATATTTTTCTATATACATGTTGCTGTGTTACACAGTTTTTGAGCTTAGTCTTTAATTAATCAATCATGAGATAAAGATATTTCCACATTGTGGCTATTCTATGCTACAAAAAGCCTGAGGTTACATGCATACATTATGACAACATTAAATTACTACAATATGTAATGTTTACAACATGAGCGGCCGTGTTGTATCAGATACACAAACTCGAGCCGAAGGCGAGAGTTTGTATATCTGATACAACACGGACGCGAATGTTGTAAACAACTTAAAAAACAGCTCATCTTATGAGTTCATTGGCGAAGTAATTTTAAAAATAAACGTTGTCTAAGCCGAGAAAATCAAAGTTAAAGTTTATGTAAATCAACATGAATCTGTATCACATATACAGATACGACACGCTTATGATTTTTCTTTGTGTTTTCTTCATGAATTATTAATGAGTTTTTTAATATAGTATATTAGAGACCTATACCTTACAAGAGATAATCAAACGACAAAAACGATACGAAACAATGGACACATTACGTAACAATATAAACACATTGTTACATTTAGGCTTGCCCGATTTTAAGGACCGCCTGCCATGCAGGCTACATTTAAAGATGCTGTAAAGTCCGTTCTGCGCATCAGTTCTGCTCATAACAAAGGGGGACCCGCAGATATAAACATTGCCCAAATTTTGCAGTTTATATTAATTTACAAGCATAGCGAACCAGAAAAGTGTTAGATATTCAGTTAGTGTATCATATTTTACAAATAAAGCAGTTCAAATTGTAAACAAAACGTTTGTTTACATTACGGACTTTACAGCATTTAATGATGCGAAATACTACACTACATTAAATTATATTTAAAAATTAATCTATTTACAAATGTCACTTTAAAACGCTGAGTGCCGATTTTAGGATAAGGCATCGTTCCTTGCGTAGATTGAAAGATATGTCTTTTTTCTTTGGTATAATTTGTCTTGAGAGTTTGGTCATCAGAGGCGGAGACTTTGTTAAGAATGTTCGTGTCCTGTTTTTGTAACAGATCATGCATCCTCACGGGAAATAAATCTAACTAAAGAAAGAAATATAACTATAAGATAGGTAATATTTCAAATCTGACTACGAGGACTGGTCAAGATTTCAAGTCCACCCAATTTGATCACGTAGGCGAAGCCGAGGACTGAATCAAAATGCGAGGACTTGAAATCTAGTCCAGTCCGAATTGGAGGATTTGAAATGACATCTCGTACGAATAAATCACCACTTAAAGTGAGGTGAATTAATTTTGATCCAGTCCAAGGACTGAATTAATTTTGACTGGATCAATATACTTCATCAGGTGTCCAGTATTATCATGTGAGCAAAATAAAGAATACGGTTGGCTAATTTACTCATGGATTATTAATGAGTTTGAGATTTATACAAGATACATATATAACTACATACAAACATTTTCCATTCATAGTTCGTTAGGACTATACTCCATTGCTTCCAAACATCCTCTCTCTAAACAATTAAATACAATAAAATATCACGATGGACTGGGGAGTTTGATGCATGATGGGAACGTTTTAGGCCCCGGATCCGATTCGCATCGGAGCTAGTCGAGCGACATCAACTGAGACGCTTTTCAGCCTCTTACAACTTTTCATACTTAAAGTTTTTTAGTAATTCTGTTATATTATAATTTTGAGTGTTAAACTCCTCTTGAAACTGTAAAATTTGATGTCGCTCCGATGCGAATCCGGCTCCACCAGGAGAAGTTGCGAAGAATGCAACTATTGACCCTCTGGCAGGAATCGACCCTGCGGTCTTGTTCTAGCAAGCGCGAATGCCCAGAATTCTGATAAAAAATCAATACTTTACCATCATTTTGAGAGGGAACACCAGTACCACTAATTATTATCATTCGATGCATAACTTGTCCATCGATAGAACTAATAACAACTAAATATCTTCTTTGGTTCCTGATATGTCCAGGACGACGGCTAATGCCAAGTGGTACCAAAGTTATGATATACAACTGTATATAGATCCATTCCAGTCTACAAAATAAACGTTTTGTATAAATAGGTACAAAATAGCCTTCAAAAATTTTTAGAAGTTCCAAACCATGTACCTGATGTACGTATAATAGAACGGGGCCAATTTAGAATCATAAAGTTAGTTTATCCATATAAAATTATAGATCGAAAACTCGCGACAATGCTATGAGACTGGCCATCTCTGGAGGTCTGCCTTGACAAACTCCTATTGCTACTATAATTATATTTGCCAGTTTGGACAACTTCCCAACGCAGCGCCTTCGCTTGAAACGTTGAAGTTTTGCTTGTGTTTTTCACGTAGTTGTATCTCTCGCAATCTGAAACTTTCTCAAATTTTATGATATGCATGTTGAAGACTTTCGATTCTCAAACGGCGAAATTTTGAATTCTGAAACGGCGAAAATATTCCGCCGCCACTGATTGGGGGGAATCCCCTAATCCCAATGCCAACACAATATGTTTGTTAAAAGGAAATTTCATTGTAATACTCTTTCACTTTTTATGTAAATGAGCCTAAATTTGTTTTAATATATTCGGTTATTAATTTATTGATTGATACGACGCGGTTCCATCAATTATAGATACATTTATTTCTCACCGCTGATTGGCCAATATGTCTTGCATTTGGCCAATAGGAGGAAGAAGCGGCAAAATTTACGCGCAATGTTTGCAGACAAAATGTATGGCAAAATATATAAATAAGTAAGTTTTTCTGACATTTTCTGGACACAGTTAACATTATTGCTGAATGAAATTAACAAAAAAAAACCAGAAAAACTGAAAACTATATTATATTATATTTAATAAATATAAAACATTTTCCGTGTTGATATACAGTTATATCAACACGAGTGGAAATTGGGAAAACGAGAAATTGTGTGGAAACACGACGCCCGAAGGGCGGAGTGTTTTCACACAATTTCGAGTTTTCCCAACTTCCACGAGTGTTGATATAACGATATATCAATACGGAAAAATGTTTTATATTTGTTTTATAATATAGCAATGTCAAAAGCCCGAAGAATAATAAAAATTTCCGTGTTTACAAGAGGCGGAAAATTTCCCGTGTTGACATGGAGTTATATCAACACGGCTCTTAGCCAATCAGCGTTCAGAATTTACAAATGCTATATTATAAATATATATATTATATATATATATGTATATTATATATATATATTATATATATATATATAATATATATATATATATATATATATATATATATATATATATATATATATATATATATATATATATATATATATATATATATATATATATATATATATATATACATATATATATGATGATGATGATGATGATGATGATGATGATGATTTTATTGATCCATTTTTAGTTTAAAAATACAATGGATTTACAAATATGTCAATTAAAGGAGAATAGCATAACTAAGCATGCAGTAATATTTACAAACTATCTAAAATTTATATATGTACAATTTGGAGTAAAAAATTTAAAAGTCTAGGAAATTATTTAAAAAGTTAATAAAAACCAAGTTAGGTTTTATATATATATATATATATATATATATATATATATATATATATATATATATATATATATATATATATATATATATATATATATATATATATTAAGATGAAAATGTTCTAGAGTGTGTATTATATAATTTCCATACCCAGCGCAAGCAGAAAGATGTTGTCTGCCGTGGCTGGATCTTGAACCCGCGACCTTCGAATTACTAGATCGACGCTCTACCAACTGAGTTA